TGGAAAGCTGCCTGGCGGAAAAGGACCTGGGGGTGCTGGTCGACAGCCGGCTGAACATGAGCCGGCAGTGTGCCCAGGCGGCCAAGAAGGCCAACGGCATCCTGGCCTGTATCAGAACTAGTGTGGCCAGCAGGAGTAGGGAAGTGATCGTGTCCCTGTACTCGGCACTGGTAAGGCCGCACCTCGAATACTGTGTTCAGTTTTGGGTCCCTCACTACAAGAAGGACGTTGAGGTGCTGGAGCGTGTCCAGAGGAGAACAAGCCTTATGAGGAGCGGCTGGGGGAGCTGGGGTTGTTTAGCCTGGAGAAAAGGAGGCTGAGGGGAGACCTCATTGCTCTCTACAACTACCTGAAAGGAGGTTGTAGCGAGGTGGGTGTCGGTCTCTTCTCCCAAGTAACTGGCGAAAGGACGAGGGGAAATGGACTCAAGTTGCGCCAGGGGAGGTTTAGATTGGATGTAAGGAAAAATTTCTTTACTGAAAGAGTAGTTAAACATTGGAACAGGCTGCCCAGGGAAGTGGTTGAGTCCCCATTCCTGGAAGTATTTAAAAGAGGTGTAGATGAGGCGCTTAGGGACATGGTTTAGTGGGCATGGTGGTGTTGGGTTGACGGTTGGACTCGATGATCTTGGAGGTCTCTTCCAACCTTAATGATTCTATGATTCTATGATTCTATCTATCTCTGGTTGGGATGTTTGCCTGGATATAATATCTACTCTGAGTGGCAATCCACAGTCAGAACAAATGGACCAAATCTAAAATTAATTACAGTGTAAGATTTGCATATTATATGAGACAATAATATTTCATTAGTGCTCTGGAAAAGAAACACTGGAATGAGCTCTTAACATCTGATTGAATTAAATTACAGAAGCTTGCATCTGAACTGGAACAATCTCTGGCTTGCCTGCGCTTTCTGTAAGGCTGGATTAAGGCAATGCAGAAAACAATAAAACGATACACACTGATTAAATTTGCAAAGTATTTTTTTTAAATCAAAGTAATTTTTCCATCTTTTTTCCATGCTACATCCAGATCTGTTTTCTAAAATCTGCAATCAACTGTCATGAAAGCAACATGAGAATAGAGCCAAAACATTATAAAGCTTGGTGGTCCAGTCCAGTATAGCATCTGTTTTAGCAGCCCTCTCCAAACAGTAATGTCATGTGAATTTAATATCAGAGCACAAATACGAGTAAAAGAATTGTAATTTATTGACTACAATCTAAAGCAGCACTATTAAGACTATTAAAAAGTAATTCTTCTTCAGTAAGTGTTTTTTTTTTTTAATTCATGGTTTCCAGTAAAGGTGGAAAAGGCTGCATATCGCTGTTCAAGTGTAACAAAAAATTGACACCTCGGAGACTCCCATCAGACAAGGGGGGACTCCCAATAGCAAGTCAGCCTGAGGCAATCAACAGCACTGCTAGAATAAGAAAGCAGCCTCAGTGACTGGCAAATTAACCAGTTGGAAAACTCTGGCACCATTTTCTAGAACTCCTGTGCAGACTAAGCAGAGACCATGGACCAGACAGTCACCCAGGCTGCAAAAATACCAATAGCGCTCAAAGACAGTGGCTGTGTGAAGAGATGTTGACTCTGAAAAATTTTTTTTCAGACAAGAATCATCCTTCTCAACTGGTGTGCTTGGTTTCTGAGGATGAAAAGACCAGGGGAAGATAAAGTGCGTCCTGCCTGTCAACATAAACAGCGTCGATGTAGCCTATCAAGTGTGGAGATGAACACTGTGAGCGGACAGCAATCCAGTAATGGGAATATGCTATACATTGGGTTTAGGGGGCTGGAAGGGGTTCACTGCACACCTACCACTGATTCAGGGGTGATCTGTGGGAGGATGACCTGCTCACCAACAGATGAAGAAAACCTGCTGCACAGCGGCCACCCCTCTGAAGGTGACCCAGATTTGGCTAAGATCTTGGAAGAGGTCAGGTACATTGCAAACCGATTCAGAGACCAGGATGAAGAAGAAGCCATTTGCAATGAATGGAAGTTTGCAGCCTCTGTAGTGGATCGGCTCTGCTTGATGGCTTTTTCAGTCTTCACAATCATTTGTACAATTGGTATTTTAATGTCAGCACCAAACTTTGTAGAGGCCGTTTCTAAGGATTTTGCTTAACTCCTAACTACAATCTGGTTCTCTGAAGTATGATATGTAGCAAACAAGAGTGTGTTTTTTGTTTGATTGCTTGTTTTTAATGAGTATACTGCTTCTCATTGTCCGCTTTCTTTTGCCCCCCTCTCTGATCCCGAGTTCCTTTCGGAAGAGTGGCACCATTCAGAAGGGAAGCCAAGGATTTCTCCGTGGGCTGCCTATGCGCAGCTCCTCTGAGCACTCTTCGGTGGGAGATGCGAAGTGGCTGCGAGTCCCTTCAGAATGACAGGATATTGCACCACCATCTCTTACATATTTTTGAACTGGCTATTACAAAATAACAGTTAGGCAATGCCAGAAATGTCACTTCTTCCAGACTTTGTTATAAAAGATAGAAGGTAGTCCACCTTAACTATTTGAACGAGTGATCGTAAACACTTATGTTTAGGAGATGATTAAATCCAAATAGATGGAAGCTCAAACCACAGAGAGAAAAGGGAGGAATAAATTGCTTTTCAGCTACTGCTTCTTACTCAGTTGTAGTATGTAGCTCTACAGCTCACTTATAACCAGACCCATAACTCCCTCCATGCATTTTACATAGACCATATGTGACTTTACAGGATTCTGAATTTGTCTGAGACACCAGAAACCCGAAAGTCAAGATGATACACCACATAACTTGTTCTTCTGTATCTTTCTGGATTTGACCTAGAAGTTTGGCCTGAATTCTTAAACAGGCTTCACAGTAATTTTTGTAGTGTTTACTACTTCTTCCTTCTCCCCAGAAAGACATTTTTTCAACTGATGACCTTTTTAACTACCAAAAAAGAAAATGAAGGATTTATGATGCCTTTATCCTCACTTGTTTAAAAAAAAATACACACACTTGTCCCTTTACTGTTAACCGGATTCCAATGTGGAGAAAGTGCTCGGTGTCTTGTACAGGCTTAAGCATAAATGAAGAATATAAAGCAAAAAGAAGCCATTAAATCCTGAGATCAAGGTTTTAATTTAAAAATTAAACGTTTGATCTGTTTTATGCTTAGCCTTTTATAGAACTCCTTCTGTTGAGTCACCATAACATGTCTTTACAAGAAAACCGCACCTTTTCTGCTCAGTTTATCATCTGAAGAGCACTAATGAATAATAAAGCTTTCTTGGGTCTGATATGAACTATGAACTGTATAAATATATATTTATATATACACACTGCATATACATCCAAGGAAAGGTTAAGACTTAAATACAAATTCTCTTAAGTCTAGAGAGACATTTGCAAAGGCCAAACTAATAGTTCATCACTTTATGTTATCCCTGATTCTGAAATTCTCCCATCAAAATATGCTTAGTTTTCACATGACTTCGATGTCTTAATGAAAAGGGCTGAGCTGAGAATATCAGGACCTGAAACTTCGTGTGTACAAAACAGCTGAGAATTAGTCTCTTGCTGGCACACCAGTATTCCTGACTAGCGATTTAAGTGGTAAAAGATGTGGGGCAGGATTACTTGAGCATTGACTGCTTGCTTTATCCTACAGAATCCTGACTTTTTGGCTGAGATCTTCAGAGACACAAATGGAGGCCTGTTGTTGTACCATGTTTTTACTGTGAAATAAACTCAGGGCCTCAGTTTATCTCTTAAGCTGGATTAAAATAAAGTGACTGAAATGCTTATTCTCCCTAGGTAACAATTTCCTTTTTCAGAGTCTGCTCCCCTGAAAGCAGGAGAATCAAATTTCATGTAAACCAAGCCCAGAGTCACCACAGGTGCAGTCCATCACCTGAGTGAACACCCTGCTCAAGCACCTTCATGCCAGAGAAAAGGGCAGGAGGAGTGAAAGGAAGGCAGGATATTTCTCACAGTTTGTGAATTCTGTCTTCTTGAAGGTTCATTCAGAATCTCACACTGCAAAGACATGAGCAAAGCATTCAAATCCTCCTTGAAAGCTCATCTTGAAACCATGTCTCAGAGTTAACTATGAAGAAGTTATATTTTCAGGAACAATTATTAAGAATTAGCTGTGCAAATAATTCCTGCAAATAGTTTCTAGTTTGTAGATTGCATATGAATAGGAAACTATGAGTCCAAAATCTGAAATGTGAGTTTTGTTCATTTGTGAATAACTACACATATCATGTGGCATGTGCTGCTCTTCTGAGTAATGTTTCTAGACTAGGCTTCCTGATGCGAATGTTGATTTGCATTGGTATTTTTTCCTTCCACAAGTGTCCCTAAGTAGCTACATAGAATGTTCCATTTAGTCTTTGTAAAGTTTTGGGCTCCTCTTGGAGAAGAATTTTTCAAGAAGGAAATGAAGACTTTTGGGCACTACCTTGTACAATGGGACACAACTATTGCAATCATAATATATGACGCATGTAATACAGGAAGCATGAGAGTACCCCTCTTTCCAGTAGAATCCATTTACAGTATCTGTAGAAATCATCTTGCTAAATACAGGAGTTCTTTACAGAAGGATGGAGAAAGCAATTTAGAATTTGACAGTAAACTTCATTATCAGCGACAGACATGCCTACGTTTAAAAACCGGAGACTGGTATTTGGCCTTTAGTCTGCCAAAGTCTCTAACACTGAGTTTGTAATACTGTCAAAGTTTGTAATACCGTCAGCGAATACCAGGTGTTAGACAAAGTAGCTGTAAGACACCAACATCATGCCTACACTACTGCCTTTATCGTTGGCAGGATTAATGAAAATGCACCAAGGGGACAAGTGAATCCTAATTTTCCTACTGTTAACATAACCTGTAAACATTTGGTAATAAGATTATTATAAATTTTAAATACAACAGTGGCAACTTCTCAGATACATTATTTTGCATCTATGAGGTAAATTTTCCTATAACTGACCTGAGCAAAATTGTTATGTTTCTTGTCAAATTGTGTGCATCTTAAATATATTTGTGTATGTGCTAAACAATATTTTGATCTAAAGGCTGGGAAAAATATTTATTTACAATTCTGAGCATAGAGATGGAAATTAAATACTGTATACAGTATGTGTATATAATATTAAAGACTACATATTGATGGTAAGGATCTGTTATAATCTTAAGAGTCCAGAGAGAGGATAAACAAGTGGTTCACTACAACTAAGCTACGACTTATCTGACAAATTCAAAAGCTCACTCTAGAGCTCAGCTGTCATGTACAATACTATGTGTGAACAATGTATATTACTTTTTCTGTTTTTATATTGAATTGTATTGAATATTTAAAAGACTTTTTAATATTTAAAAAAATTTATTTAAATGTTAATGCCAAAAAAGTTCCAAACATAAAATTTTAAAAGGTTAGTTTTAAATACAGATAAATTATTTAAACAGTATTTAAAATATTAAATTATTTTATATAGGAATTGATAATACTATGTAACACTTTTTTTAAAAGTTTAAATTCTCTTTACATTCTCTCTAGCTGCAGGATGTAATCTCAGTTCACCTGTGACAATTCAACTTTTCACCTTCTTTAACAAGAAAAGAAGGTAAACCAAAGTCCCAGATTTTCTTTCCTTTTGTTATACTATTTTTTACATTAAGAAACATTGCATAAAGGGCATTAGAAAGAGATGTTACATCTGTCAGGTACTGATTGTCATATAAGCAATTCAATACCTTTTCAGTCCAGTACAAATAAAAGATTTAGATCAAGAGACTTTCGATTGTTTCTCATTTTGCTAAGATGGAAATAAACTCAAGCGGTAGAAAACATGAATAGCCATAAAAGGAAGAAAAATGTCTTTGGATATATCAACCTGGGATGACAAAGGTCTTTGATAAATAAAAACACACTCATATCCTCCTACCAAACCAGTCCCACATCAAACATATATTACTTCAGTCTTACATAAGTGATCAAATTTAACCAAGTAGGACTGAAATACCATGTAAGTTTTGGACTGGCCTCAATGCCAGTATTAATTTACTTCATGAAGTTTAACACAGAAGGGAGAAACAAGAGAGAAAAAACAAATTCATACCAGCTGAATAAACTGTTGGTTTTGCCAGCTGCAAATTTTGTTTGTTGGCTACTGGTGAAAAAAATATCTAATCAGCAGAATATCCCCCAGATGGGGGAAAAAAAAAGTCAGTGTAGTTTTTTGCAGCCAGATGAGTTGTACTGCCCACATGCTGAAACAGCTTCCTGAAAAGCTTTCTAACTTTACAACATCCTGCTGAGCATGTGCCAGTAGTAAAAATCAAGGGTTGCTGAACCCAAGACTTTATTCTATTATTGCTTCCACAAGCTTCTAAGGAACAGCTGATAAAGACCAGTTTGGTCAAGGTCAACACACCACATCATACAAGCATGTAGTTGTTACTGAATCCAACCTGTCTTTGGATAACAGCTGCCATGGGTCACAATGTCAGATATTTAGGTGAGGCTCATGCTGATGGCTGCTCATTCTTCCAAGCCAACATGCCTACCCTCTCTTCTAGAGTGCTGAGAAGTGGGACATATTACCTCAAACTTGCTGTTATGCTTCCACATGGTCAGACAGGTTAACTCAACACACACCAGGCAGTTCCTGGCACTGTGTATAAACCTACCATCACAGGTACTCCATCTCTGAAGCATTTGTGAATGGGGATTAAAATCGGACTGCTGTCTGCTACCACTCTCAGGCACCTGGTTGGTTAATATGCAGACTGAAAGCTGCTATGATTTAGGAGTTTATACATAAGCAGATCCAACGTCATTGCCCTGTGGGTGGCAATGTCCATCAGAGCACTGGGTCTTGTGGCTATAGAGAGTAACAGTATCAGCCATCCAGTTTTAATCCTTTAAGAACAATCAGAATATATTTTCTCTTCAACAAAACTGATTTCTTAGCCTAATCTCATGATACTAAAATATCAGTAAATCTTAAAAGGCTGTGAACAGAATCTGCACGTTACAGCAAATCTAACCCGGTAATCAAACAGGATCTGAACAGGACTACAACCACCAATGAAAGCCTTTCACTATTATCTTTTTTTTTTTTTTACATTGCTTCTGCTGCTTAAAAGAAAACCTTGAAGTTTATGTAACATTTATTTGTGCTATTAAGCAATTTGCAGATGATGGCGTAGAGAGAGAATAAACAACAATCTCTCACACTCCAACGACCACATTCAAAATCGCAATTTATTAACAGAACATGAAAATACTCAAGTCCGAAACTTAGCATCAGTGTCTTATCTATAACCTCACTATAAAGGTATCACTAGTAATCACTGGGTTTTCAGAGCTGCAGTGACTTGTCCCTGTAATAAAGCTATACAGGAACAGCAGTTTAAACCCCAAAATAATTTGAACTATCTGCATATTTTTACCTTAAAAAAACCCCAAAACCAAAACCCAACAACTATTTAACAGCCATGACATGATATAGTGCTACT